CAGAAGAGCCGTCGATAACATCAGGCAGAGTAGATATTTCTGTTTTGCATTTAGGCAAATCAAGGGTAAAAGTAAGGTGACACTGGAGCTCGAACAGTAGAAAAGTAGAAAAGAAGATTCATTGAGGGTAGGCACGTACCTAACATTCGTTATGTCGTCAGGTCCCTTATAGAGGAAGTGTCACAGGTCTACCATGGCTACTGCATAGCCGGTGTAGAGAGATCAAGTAAAGGCATCAGGTTTCTTCTGCGGACACGGGAAAGCTTCCTGGGAAAGGTAGGATTTTAAGTGCTTTTTATCATTATGGCCAAAGTTTGGCTGGCTGGTGGAATGCTCTGAAATTTGACACATTTTGTGAGGTTTCATATTGAGAAATTAGCAGGAACTTTGCAGAGATCACAGGGATGAGGAGAAAGATAAATCAGCAGATGATGTATTACTGCTGTGGTGCTGGTAAATGTTTAACAATCAGCTCTCAAAAAAAAAAAAAAAGCAGGAGCCTTGATTTATGTAAGTTTTTTTAATCTATGATATTAAGTATCCCAGCATTGGCAGATTTCAGATTGGAAACTACCAACCTGTTGTCACTCACAGCAGAGCTGGAGAGAGATGTGTGTAATCGGAACCATCAGCTCTCAGTAGCCAGTACACAGCGGCTCCAGCATAGCACCATGCATTTTCATAAGCTGCTGTCCTTGAGCGATTGAGGGAACACTTAGGAAAATCCACTGGGCATCCAGAATCTGGAATCAATACAACATTTGAGGGCAAGGCGCTTTGTTTTCTTTTCCCAGGTTCAATGCTGTGTTAAAGCCTCACTCATTGGTTGTGATATGCATGTAAAAGGCATGGCAAACCTTGCTGGGAACACAGTAGGTCACCCCCTGGGCAGTGAACACATGAACCACCTCAGAGAGACAGCTGTGCATTCGGTGCTAACTGATTCTCAAAAGGGGTTCCATATGGCTCCCTGATAGAGAGACATGATTAGGGCTGTATATACGTCACATGAAAATCAAGAAAGGATAATCCTTGTTCCTTCCATTTGTACAGGACCTTATGGATTCTAAAGGCCCGTGTCCAAGGTGGTAAAGTTCCCCGTATCCAGTTTCTAGTTGCTCATTAAGGCAGACTGATAGTGGGTAAAACGAAGGTTTTTACAGAGTCACTCTTGTTCACATGAATGATGGACTGGCGGTGCGCCTCTCGGGCGGTCTGCAGACGGAGGCTCCATGAGGTGCAGGAGGGGGCCAGAAACACCAGCTCAGTGAGGCCTGGCTCCCAGCCAAGTCTGTCCTGGGCACTTGCCTTACATTGTCCCTGAAGCCACTCAACAACCCTGTGAAGTAGCTCCTATTATTTTCTTCCATTTTGCAAATACGGAGGCTCAGAGATGTTAAATTACTTGCCAGAAGGTCATGGCATTCATAAATGCCTGAGCTGGGACACAAACCAGGACCATCTGACACCTCAAGCCTATATTAAGAATCTCCAGACTAGTTTAGGTCAAAGGTCTTAATAAAATTGTAGATATTTAATGTGCTAATTGGACAGGGATGACCTAAAAGGTTCTGGTGCAGGCAGCACTAACCTAGCTGGGGGGAGGGGATAAGGGAGGGTCGGGGGAGGGGACCATTACAAAGGTGATAAAAAAATAACGTGCTCACATGCTGTCATGCTGAGTCGTGTGATTCAGAAGGTGTGTATTTGTAATTGGCCTTTACAAGCACAAAGCACGAGAGCCTGAGTTGGGTCAGCCTTGCAGTGTCCTCTGCTGCCCCCTTTCTCGCCTGTGGCCCCCTTTACATAAACTGTAAATTAGACTCTAAGTTCCAGGACAGCAGAGATTGACGGTACATCTTAAGCACTGATGTTGGCAGTCCTGCCCCATGGCTGACACAGTAGGTACTTTGTTCGGTACTGGTGGTGGTGGCGATGATAAATACTCCGCCAGTAATAGCAGTATGCTCTTTCCAAGCATTATCTTATTTAATCCTCATTAACTCCATGAAGTAGATACGATTCTTCTCCCTAATTTATAGATTCAAAAAAAATCTTGTCACTTGCTCAAGGACACAATAATAAGTGGCAGAAAATCAGCTCAGCTTGATAGCAGAGCCCAGCACACTTAGCATCATGAGATAGTCTGTTGTCACATACTGCATTTGCTGTGTTTCTAGGAAAGCTCATATGATTAAAATTGGATGATAGAATATCAGTTCTGTGAAGAAAGGGACCCTGTCTTGTTTCAACTGTATTCCCAGCACCTAGAATAACTCCTGGCCTGTAAGTACTCAGCATGTTTGGTACATAGGCATACAGGAATCAGCAGACAACTGGTTCAATAAGAAAAGGAGTTACAAGCTAGAAAATTACTGGCTCGCAGCAGGTTTTGTGTTTGGGGGTTTATGGAGGCAAGAATTTTAATAGGGGTAGAGCTGTGAAACCTAAATACCACAAATATCTGTTATCCTGAACTCATTCATTGAAGAAATATTTATCTCTGTCCAAGAAACACAACTGAGCATCTGCTAAGCTCCAGACACTTAATATTAAGAGAGAAAGTAGGAGAGGTTGACAATAAGTAAACAACCATTACAAAATGCAGTGTGCCATGAATAAGACCAAATATATACATATACAGGTATAGGGACAAAACACCAGAGGAAGGGGCTCTGGTACAGTCAGGGAGTGCCTCAATGAGTGAGGGACGGTGAAGCTGAGACACGGAAGAATGCCGAGAACGTGAGGAAGGGGCACAGGGAATGGCATATGCAGATGCCAAAAGCTTTGGGAAGGGCATGACGTGCTGGAGGAACAGAAGGAAGGTCTGGAGGTCTCCTGAGAAATGGTCTGTGCAGTCCTTACCACCACTGGGTGCAGAGGGTTTCTGTCACTCCCTTACCTCCTTTACTACATGTCATTGTGTTAGAGCGCAAAGCCGACGGCTTTAATTTTCTTGGTTGTTGTTGGAAGGGTAAGTCCCCATGGCTTGTAGTAGAAAAGAGTGCTCCATAAAACAGAAACCTTAGAGTCTGCTTAATCTGCAGAGAGCTATCTAATTTGCCTTCTCAGATCATGTGTCTTAAGAAAAAAAAAATGCCTGTACTATTGAATAAATGCAAAAGGAATTTTGCAGGAAACATGAAAGGGAAAATTTAGTGAACACAGAGGCTTGATCTGTGGAGGGGACATTTCTTCCGCTGGTTCAGTGGAAAATTCCTCAAGCACAGCCTGGCCAGTGAGCCGCGGCCCACCTGATTCCCCGCGCAGCTCTGTTCTGATCCAGCCCAGGGCCCAGGAAGATGCGGAGGGGGGTTTCCCCAGCACTATTCCAGGGTCTCCTGTGGCAGGTTAAGGTCATTTCAACTGAAAACAAGGTATCTTCTCACCACTTTGAAATGAACTTAAGCATTTTCTTCCTCCCTTCTGCCCACCCCCTCCCCCTTTATGATGATTGGTAAGAGAGGCTGAACTGTTTAACCACAGATGAGCTGACCCCTGGAGGCTTGGTGATGGACACAGCTCCTCACGGGGAGAACCAGCCTGCATCACCAGTCTTCATCTGTTACTGGGATTTCACATGTGAATTTTGAACACATAGTCAAACAAGTATGTAAGACAATCATCAGATGGGAATAAAACAGAATCTACTGGCCGCTGAACTTACCCTAAAAATTATATCAACGACTATTTCTACTCTCTTCTCCCAGAGATAGGTGATCCCCTTCTGGAGATGGGGATGGTGCCATTTTCCACCTGCCAGAAGTGTTTATTCTTCATGGAAATCTAATGGCAATTCCCAACCTCAGTTAAGGGCTTGTTTTCCCATTTTTTTGAACTTCAAATACTTTCTAAATTGTGTTAGCCGAAGCATTGTATGTATATAATTAACTCACAGGTCCCTCTGGGCTCATTGAGCTAAACTTGTGGAACTTAACTGAGCAAGACATTCACTGATGTCTCTGCCTGCAGTGGCACCCCTTCTACAAGAGGAAACTGGGGAAATTTCTTTTCCAAATTGGCTTTTTAATGACTTGGGTAGCTTCCTAAATGATTTTAGTTGTTTCATAACAATAACAATCTAATTTTCTTTCGAATACAGAATTTGCAATTTGGGGAAACATGGGGTGGGGGGATAGGGAATTCTGTATTTGCCTCTTTGGCATTAATTGGATCTCTGAAGTTCCCCTCAGGGTAGCAGTGGTCCTCTGTGGGCATGGGGCTCCCGTGTACCATCCATGCTGAGAGTAAGTGTAAACCTTCCTGCAGCTTTGTGTCTTCACAAGCAAAACCTACAGGAGGGCCTGCAGCAGTTTGTCCAGAGCAAGGTGCTAAGGGTTAGGGAAGGCGGACTTTTCAGATGGACTCTGTTGACTAGATACGGAACAGCCCTCTGCTTCCCTCTGCCAGTGTAGACGTAGACGCCTGCAGTTAGAAGGTGTGTTCGGCTCTTCGGGATGGAGAAGTCAGATATGCTGGCAGAAAATTTCTGGTGCCCGCTCCCCCTTCTATTCCTAGTACAGAGGGGCTTAAGCTGGGAGCCCCTCTTTCCAAGGCTTCCAACCCCAGGCCTCGCCCTTCTAACTTCATCACGGGACCGGGGCCTCCGGTGAGCGTGAGCAGAGGGCCGCGGCTGCGGGCTTCCCGCCTACCCCAGGGAGCCTCCTCCTCGGCCGTCCTGCAGCTCAGGAGTCCGGGGAAGGGCAGCGAGCTAGGCACTCGGGGCGCGGAGGAGGCCCTGCCCTGGCAGGCGGCCCGGGGGCAGCGAGGGCGGAGGAGCGCGTCTGCGTTTTCCGCGTGGACCCGCGGGCTGGCTGCGTGCGCCCCGCTGCCGCAGAGAGCGGCCTCGCCTCGGCCTCCTGCGCGGCGGGCCGAGCCCGGGGCTGTGACGCGGCTGGGAGGAGCCTCGCCGTCGGTGCGCCGGCCGCTGCAGCCGCGGCCGCGGGGACGAGCGCGCGGGCGGGAGTGGGTGAGCGCGCGGGCGCCGCCGCAGCGCCCTGCCCAGCTCCCCGCCGGCGGCCGCAGCCCCCGCCCGCCGGAGCCGCCCTGCGCGGGACCCGCACCCTCCCCCGGGCCCGGCGGCCTGCATCCCGCCCTGCCCGCTCGCCGCCGCAGCCCCGTGCGCACAGGCACCATTTTGTGGCAGCTGCCCGCGCCCCCAGGGGGAGCAGGGCTCTTCTCCTGCCGCGTGGAGCGGCTGCCGGCGAGGGGAACCTGTTGGGCACCTGCCCGGCCGCCGGTGAGCGCCTCCCGGGCGGCGGGCGGGAGCGGACCCCGGGGCGCGGCGGCGGCGGGCGCAGCATCCTCGCCGGGAGCCGGAGCGGGGCGAGCGCACCGCGGCCTCGCGGAGCCCGAGCGGAGGCGGCGGCGGCGGCCGCGCCAGCGCCGGGTTTTTATTTTTCTTCTCCCCGCCTCCCCGTCTCCTCCCCAGGCGCGGACCATGGTGCAGCCCCGCCGGCTCCCCCGCGCGCCTCTCCCGTGAGCCTGGCTGCGGGGAGGGATCATGGATACTTGTCTGCTGGCTTCTGGTTCCCACGCAAGTAAGCCTGCCGTCAATGGAGGAGGACATTGATACCCGCAAAATCAACAACAGTTTCCTGCGCGACCACAGCTATGCGACCGAAGGTAACGCCCGCGCCGCCGCATTCCGCCGCTGGGCCGGGCGCGAGTTGCAGGGCGCCGAGCTCGGCGCGCACGCCTCCGGGCCCCGGGGCTGGGGCTGGGGCGGGGGCTCGGCTCGTGGGGGCGGCCGCCGGGGCGCCCCACGTCCCTCCCGCATCCCCGAGGCGAGCCCCGTGCTCAGCAGCAGGTGGACCCGTCGCCCACGGAGTTAAAATGGCCCCTCGGGGATTAAGGCTTCTCGGGGTGGGGCTCCGGCTGGAAAAATGACCCCCTGAAGGCAGATGACCTCTCCTCCAAGATGTTTGCAGGGGTCTCGGGGAGACACGGGCAGGAGGGGACCCAGAGGGCTGTGGGTCCCCCCCCCCCCCCGCCCTGAGCGGAATGCTGCTGTGTGTCCCCGTGGCTGCAGCGGGGCAGGTTTCATTTCCTGCCGGTTCATCTCCGGCCAGGTTACCTGCTCAGACCATCAAACCCCCAAAAGGCCCTTTCAGGAGGGTGAGCCCATCTCCCCGTGGAAGCGCATTAGCAGAGAAATGAGAAGGTAGCTGGGGAAACAGTGTTCCGGCCAGCGAATGAGTATGACACGTGGGGCAAGCGAGCAATGCGATCCGTGGGGCCTTTAAAAATCACCATTATGAATTCTGCAGCAGTAGTTTCTGCTGAATCAACAGCCAGCAGAAAGCAAGAGGGTTCAGTAAGCTGAGCTTTGCCAAGAGGTGAAATTCTCTCCCTCTCTCCCTCCCTCNTAACCGCTCATATAAAGTGCTGCATTATCACATTGTAATATCCATGGGAGAAAAATGTGTGTGAAAGTGCTTTAGGAAGATGTAGCAAGGTACGTGCATTTAACATTATGCTTATCATTATTGAGTGCTAAAATTTCTATCATGAATCCAATTCAGACTCCTAGAGAAATTAATGGGGAGGGGAGGTAAGGAGTTCAAGCTCTGAAAGAAAGAAAAAGGCACACAATTTGGAGTAAAGGTGACATCTTCCATAAACCTGCAAGTTTTAGACAGCACTATTGAAAGTACATTCTCCGTTCCTCGTGGTTATTGGAGAGCGTCAGGCCTGATGTGCCCGTGGTGCTGGACAGATTATCGCAGAACCGGATGACTGGCCTTCCAGAGCTTGGAGATGGCTTTTCAGGTGTCCAGCCTCTCCCTTCCGCTTACCAAGCACCGCACCTGCCCTTGCTGTTTCTCTTTATTTGCATGAAGACAAGATGCTCTTCCTCATCCGTAGTGCGTTGTCACTGAATCTGTTACCAGGGAGAACAGGATTAGCTCTGTGTCCGAGCACGGCATCTGAGGGAGAACTTGGCCTTGGGTCTCCTGGCTTTTCTGGGGACACTTCTCTCTATTTGTGGCAGCAAAAGAAAAGGGCTGCCTGCATGTTTTCTTCTGCATCGCACTGTGCCTCCCAGTGCAGGCAAAGGAACCTCGCGAGCTGGGAAGAGGGGCCAACCGGGCCATGTGTGCAGGAGTGTCAGCTGTAGAATGAAGACACGAGTTAAAATGGCATTCCTTATTGTTTTCAGGGCCTTTGACACTAAGTAATCCTTGTTCCTATTTTAAGGCATTTTTGTAAACTCTCATTCTGCGTAAAATACCTGGGTTCATAGAGTCAAAAATGAGGTATTAGTTCATAGCAAAAAACTTTCTAAAATTTGTGTAAATCAACCTCTCATCTCCCTTCCCCCCCTCCCACTCCCCTCACGCACACACACCACCCTCTGAAAACTAAACAAATCTTTATTTCTCTGATGCGTCAAGGTCTCTTTATCTGATTTTAGTGAAGGTCTGGGCAGGAAAAAAAAATGGAATTTACACAATGTAAGCAGCAGAAGTTGGGTAGAGCAGCAAATTCTCTGTGGCCTTAATGTATTCATTTTAGGGAGCATTCTCGCAATCCTGACGGCCAGAGGCTGAATAGTCCCTCCGGCCTCTTATGATGATGAATACCTTAGAAGTGCTAGTATGTCTTGAAAGAGGGTCAAATCAAAATATTCTTTAAAATCCTCTTCACTGGGGGCTTGCCCCCCAAATTCTCCTGCCCTTTATTAACTTACACCCACTTTCTGGGGAATTAGTTTCTAGGTCTTTCTAGAGGCTTTTCTCTTTCTTTTTTTTTGTCTCCTTTGATGATATTTCTGTGTTTTCCTACCTGCCCAGGTGTGTCAGATTCTTTTTTTCTCCAAAATCTCCTTTGCATTTATCTCTACATTTTTCTTGCCGTTGCTCGGATCATTCCACACTGCAGTATTCTATTTAAAGCTGAAAGGTTTTTGCTGTGTAGTTAGTGTGAAGCACTCCGGGCTCAATCTGCATTGTAAGTGGTAGCTGCAGGCAAGTTCCTCCGCTAAGAGCAATGCAAATGCTAAAGATGCTGTCACCCAACCTCTCCTCTTTTCTCCCTCCCTCCCTCACTTTCTTTCTGGGAAAGAAAAAGAACCTATGATATGCATTGATTAAACCCATTTCCTATGACTTTTAGTCTGAGCCTTAAAGTTACCACCCTTCTCTACCTTTACCTATATTTTCCCTCTTTCTAAAGTTGCCATATTTGAGCATGTTCTGTTTTCCAATAGAGGCCTTGCTGTGCTGGGCTTTTTGTATGTGGCATTTCCATGTATCTAAGCCCTGCTAAGTACATGTTATTTCCATTTTCAAAAAAGGAAACTGAGCAGGTGAGGCCCAGAGATGTTACTAATTTGCTGAGGTCACACAGTAAGGGGAAAAGCTCGTCTTAAGTGTCTGAAGCTCCTGTTCTTTCACCAGGAAATTCTGTACTGCCTTATTCTCCTTCAACGTGAGCCCCTGTTACGGGGAAGATCACAATGATTTTATCTTTGTGTGTAAACTGTTTCTCCATCCAAGGTACGATTCCTTACAGGGATCCCTTGAAAGTGTGTGTTTGGGGTTACATATGAGGGAAAGCATCAGTGGGATTGGGATGACCAGAAAAATCAAGTCAGTACAACGGTTTTAGTAGTGTTTTCAGATATGGACTCTGGGTTTCCTGAGCAAGGTTCATCTCTCAAATCTCTCTGATCTGTAGGTGGATTTCTGTCTGTATTTTTAGACTTGTTAGAACCAACTGAAACCCTCTCTCCATTAGAGCCGTCTGCGAGCTTTCCAGGTTAACCTTCCTACTCTCATGTGGAGCTACAGACAGAATAAGTATTCTTTATGGGTGGAATTTACAGGAATGACAATCTGGTTAGGAGGGGAAGTCAGAGAGCATGTTTTAAACTAGTTATTCTGTTCTCAGTTTTCTTAGCTCTAAAATGGGAATTTCACAATAGAACCCATGACTCGGGAAGAAGTTATTTAAAACAGGGAAAGCACTCAAGACAATGCCTAAAACAAGCCAGACCTCAATAATGCCCTCAGTACATTACAGCTGTTATTATTATTATTTAAGCTGACTTTGCATCGCAAGGACACTGTTTTTCCTTGGATTCTGTATTGATGTGGGATGATCTTGAGGGGAAGGGCTCCTGAAGATGGAAGAGAAGTCATTAGAACCCCCTGCAGGCTCTTCTTGGCCCAGTCACTATCCAGGGACCTTGCCATGTAGTAATTTGCCTTAATGTCTTTGCTGGTTATATTCTGTCCATCTCCTCTCTTTAAAAACCCATATGGTTTGCACATATTAAAGGAAGAACAAATTCACTTATTTCATGTATTATTATAATATTAATATATAATTATTACATAATTATTTATTCATTCTGCTTTTAATTCCTTCAATAAATATTATTGTACTGTATTGTATTATTGACAGAGGTCATCCAGCTTGTTCCAGTCCAGACAGGGTGTCTGTCCTCATCAGCTTTCAGTCTGGTGGAGAACATAGACATTAAACAAACCATTTTGCAAATAAATCTGTAGTTGCCAATTGTGATAAGTGATATTCAGGAAAAACATAAGGTGCCTTGAGATCATATATAAGGCTGAAAGGTGGGTCTAGTTTAGATCGGAGGACTAAAGAATAGCCTCTCAGAGGAAGTTTAAGCTGAGAACTAAAGGATGAATAAGGAATTGACAAGAACTGAAGACATGTCAGGTAGAGAAGACAATAGGTACCAGACACAGAGATATAAAATAGTGTGACAGATTCAAAGAATGGACAATGCCTATGGCTGGAGTGTTGGAATAAGAGGAAGGGTGAGAAAATGAGACTGGAGCCTGCACTTTACTTAGGAATGCACCGAACATGTGAACGATCAGCTCGGATGAAGGGATGGGTAAGTAGAGAGATGTGCGATAACACAAGTGTAAAACATTAATGATAAAATCAAGGTGGTCAGTGAATAGGTATTCACTATAAATTTCGTTTTTCAACTTTGCTGTCTGGAAGTTTTCATAATAAAGTGTTACAAAAAAGAGACTGGAGAGGTAGGTATTCAGGGACTAGATCACATTGAGCTTTGTTGGCCATAAGGAGTTTGGACTTTATCCAAAGAAGGATCGAAAGCCATTAAAGGATTTTGATCGGGGGAAATATGATCAGGTTTGTTTCTTCAGAGCTCGGTGTGGCAGCTGTGCAGGGTGGGGTCAGAGGGCTGGTAGGAGGTGAGCAGGAGTGAGAATGGAGATAATCAGGAGACCACCAGGCTGTACTCCAGGTTGGCAGCGGCAGTAGAGATGGAAAGAATTCGATGGATTTAGTACAGAGCAGAAGAAGAATGGATAGGGTTTGCTTTGTGTGATAGATCAGGTGGAGCTGAAGGAGACGGAGATGGGGTCCAGGGTGACTCCCAGGCGTCAGCCGTGAGAATGGGTGCCAAATAGGGCTTCCCGCGGCAACTGGAACAAGACTGTGGAAATTGACTAGCTTGAGGATCCTGTGAGACATCTAGTCTGACAGTGAGAAACTCCCAGGTAACCAGGTGGGTATCTGGGTCTGAAGCCCAGAAGAAGGTCTGGACTAGATATGTAATTTGGGATGTCACCAGCGTGTTCAAGGTATATAAAAGCATGTGAACAGGTGAGATG